GATGTCCTGCAACAAGGCAAATCAAGATAATGAGTACCAAATGAGACAATTCATTACAGAAGTACCTAAATAATTACTTTCCACCTTTTATTAATTAAGGGTAAATCGATTGTCTATAATGTCACTTAGCGACAGTTACGGACAGTTACTGCTTCTAATTGCTACCCTCTCTAATCACACTTTACTAATATAGAAAAGTGCTCATGGTGCAATTTTAGAGGAACAAAATTGCTTTGATTGAGCAGACACTTCTCAAGCACTTCCTTCGATGCCTCCCAGTCAAAGCGATTAAGTTTCAATGCTGATGTCAGACCGGTATATACTGTTATTTACTCCATATTGGCCTTATCCCGTCCGTTTCTTGCGGTATAGACCACCATAATTTTATCTTTTTTATTTATTTATTTGACAATAATGATCGTATAAGTATCAAATCCTATAAACAAATTTTCAAAGAACGCATTGATAGCTACTGAGTATCAAAAAGATTTTTGAAGAGGCCACATTATATCTTTATCACTCGGATGGATTTAATAGTCTATTAGTCAACCTAAAATTTCAACTGCTTCATAGCTTATTTTTAACGCCTAAACTTTTCGATAACTCTCAGGTGTCCTTTTTTATCTGTCATTTCTTTCACCAGTTCGTCAGCCTTCGCTTCTTTTTTAGAGGAGTCAAGAACGGACTTCAAGCACTAAGTAATTCTAAATTCACATCCACTAATCATCTCCGGATACCAATCTGCGAACGAGATCTCCACCAACAACTGCCTCAGCAATATCAGCTTACATTCCAGATGGCTCATCAGCTGGTCACTATTACACTAGACCGCCTTCTCATAGCGCTCGGCCGCCTTTCAGCTCCACAGTTTGTTGATCAATCGCCCGAGATGAGTTTATGCCTTCTGCGAAGTCGGTCATTCATTGAGCAGGTCAGATCTTTGCTCTCACTGATCTCCACAATTTTGGTACTAGCTTAAATTAGCCTCCTTCATTCACTTCCACATGCTGACAAGTATGGAATCATTTACACACTCCCGAATCCTTACTACGCTAACTATTTTCTTGAGCCAATCCTTTTTCATAGTCCTTTATGCTTATCTTGAATCTATTAAATATGATTAATTGTAATTGCAACTGAGTGAGATTTATTTTAGGCTGATGATAATGGAAGCAATTAGAATGAATTGTAGAATATCCAGATTTGCCGTTTGTCTCTAAAATTTGAGCAATTCTAATAGCAATACTAACAATAATTGCCACTTATGTTGCTATTTTTGATTGCATTTATGAAGTATGTGCCTCACATTTCTACTACTAGGGACATTTGAATTTCTCAGTCTGGAAACTTTTTAACCATTGTGTCGAAGTTAGTTTTCAGTTGGTACGACCTCTTTTTCACAACTTGGTCCGGGCAATAGGGAGACC